CCCGCAACATGAAGGCGGCGCCGGGCGGTGCCGAGGGTGAGTGCCGCCGGAGGGGCGCGGCCGGTGCTGTGAGGAGATTTTGGGGTGGAGGGCGGGGGGGCGATGTGTGTGAAGCACAGTGTCGGGCTGAGGGATTTTTCCCGCTGGAAGGGCGAGAATCCCGCACGGGCCTCTGGGTCTCGGTGCTGGCTGCGGGGCGGTTCCGTTTTTAAAGGAAATAAAGGCGAATATCCTCGTTGGGGCGCTCCCCTGGCTGAGATCTGAGAGAACTCTCCCTCTCCCGGGGGCTTCATGGGGTCTTGGCGATGTTCATAAACACCTGGAGGGAGGGTGTGGGGCAGAGGGAGCCCGGGTCCTCTCAGGGGGAGGCAGAGGCCATGGGCACAAGCGAGAAGGCAGGAGCCTCCACCGGAGCCCCAGGAAACACTTTGTCACTGTGTCCAGAGAGGTGATGGCATCTCCATCCTTGGAGAGCTTTAAATGCCAGGACATGGCCCTTCTTAGGCAGGGGCTTGGACCAGGAGAGCCCTGCCAGCCTCAGCCCTTCTGTGATTCTGCCGTAGCTGAGAGGTATGAAGTGTCTGAAAACACGTAGCAAAGATCTATTTATTCCTTGTGCTTGGATTTGATGGGGTCAGCATTAGGTCTTTAAGCAGTAGATGCATCAACGATGAAAACAAACCCTTGAAATTTCGCAGACGAGGTGCTTCCAGGGCTGTGTGCTGCGGCGGTTAAGATCTCATAGACATGTGTTTGCCCAGGACCTTCTGCCAGAGACAGGGTTTGTTTTGGCAGTGATGTCTGCTGGGGTTTTTTGACAGATGCAAGGCTAGGAAAAGCTGTCTCTTAGCAAAAATAAAAAAAAAACACACCAAAATTATAATACTCTTGAAACCTCCATTCTTTTTGCGCCTCTGTCCGACCAGAGAGTAGGGGAAAAATGAACCATGAATGAATCATCTGTGAAGATCTTTATTAGACAAGAAGTTGCAGAGTTGGAAGAGAGAGCAGGGGAATCCAGGAAACAAAGCTTTACCTCACTTCTTTAACACCATGTTTTCTACACTCTCCGTTTCCTGTCCCAGGGAAGCTTCATCTTTTGACCGTAGAGTTGCATCTTCAAACAGTGCCCCGATATGTTCCTGCTGTGCCAGAACTTAACCTGATGGGGCCACATCATTTGGAGTCTGGGCAGAATAGGAGCTGGGCTTTTCCCAACAGGCCCGTAGGCATTTTATGGTCCTTTACATTTTGATAACTTGTGGCACATCCTTAGCGTTTACTTAACCTTAAGGTCTAGGTTGTAGCAATAAATCAGCAGTAAGTAACTTTTTTGAAATCATGGTTAGCTTAAAGGTGGCAAGTATTTTTGTTACAACTGCCAAGCTTTTTTATTTGTAAAACTTGAGATGTTGTCTCGTTCCCTTTTCTGAATCTTCCCCTGTCTTACAGAAACGGAGAAGCTGAATAAGATGAGTACCCTCTTAGAAAGACTTCATGCAAAGTACAACCAAAACAGGCCTTGGACAGAAACCATGAAGCTGGTCCGTCAAGTCATGGTGAGAATTGTTGGGGTCTCAGCGGGAGGGATTCTCAAGTTTCTTTAGTGATGATTTTGTTGTCGGTTTGTTAGATCTCTTCAAAGTCCTTTGTGTTTTGTTCAAGCCTGCACTGGTGTGGTTCAGGTAGTTCCTCATCCACAGTGTGTGGTTCAGGGAGTGATGTCCATACCCTTTCTGCGTGGCATGTCTTTCCCTTCATTAATTACAGCCTCCCCCTCTACAGCCTAATTGCCAGGGGGCAGCTGTCAGCTCAGTGCCAGGAAAAGGGTCAAACTTGTGCTTTCAGCCGGTGCTGAGAAGCCCAAACCATTCTGTCACTTTGCTGTTTCAGGATGTTGTGTTTTGTAGCACAATTTGCTCCCCATTTGGTGATATTCAAATCTTGGTGTTGGCTGAGTCAGACACGGGTTTGAAATATTGGTCTCTGGGTAGAGGGAGGGAGGAGCAGGGGACAAGAGGGAACTGCCTCAAAACTGCCTCCTCCATATATTGTGGTGTTAAAAATTAGCCTGTCTTGTTATTTCTTTGTGGTCTCTCGTATAATTCTTAGTTTATAGCTATTAAAAATGCTACAGTGTGTTCTTCCAGATGAACAAGGTGCTTAAAAGAAAATAAATCAATTCCAGGCCTGCCTTTGTTAACTGTTTCCCACATGGATACTGTTCTCCTGCAGGAGTCAAAATGAGGATGTAATTTTGGGATGAAATCTAATGTGCTTTTAATTACCTAAATAAACCTCCCTTGACTGAGCAAAAGTTGTGATGATTCCCCTCTTACTGAGCGATACACAAAAAGGGCGTTTTTCTTCTTTCTGACTAAGGAAAAGCGAATTGTGATGAACTCTGGGGGGCACCAACATCTGGTGAGCTGTTTGGAGACTTTGCAGAAGGCATTAAAAGGTTGGTACGTCCCTGCGCATGCACTTCGCGAACCGCTTTCAACAGTGATGTGCTACGGAGAGACTCCAAAGAGCTAAAACCCAGCGAGGTTGTTGGTAGCTCATTTCACTGTGTTCCCAGTGCATGTGTGCTCACCTTTGCAGAAGTGCCCTTCTCTGGCATTGCCTGTGTGAATTTTGTTGTTAAATTTTTCGGTGTTGTTGAGTGAATTCGCTCAGCCATTGCCTGTGTGAATTTTGGTGTTAAATGCCCACACCTGACTTCAGCTTGCGGAGGGAAAATCCCTTCTCTCTTTGCAGTTCTGAGCACCTTTTGGTTTTCCCTCTGCAAGTTGTTTTGAGATGTGTTTTGAGATGATGTGTCTTGGTGTGAAGGTGGGAGCAGATGTGGGAGGGAGTAACTGCTGGAGGTGGCTTTTAATGCTTTTATTCCTGGGGAGATGTTGAAATGCTTCCCTAAAGCTGTGCTTTTTGCTCTCTCTTTCTAGTCTCGTCTCTGCCTGCCATGACAGACCGCTTGGAGTCCATAGCCAGACAGAATGGGTAGGTCTCCTCCTTTATTTCATGACAAAGGCTTTTCCCGTTTATCCGTACGCATCGTAACCTCCCTGCTGGGTCAGTTGGGGTTTTTTTTGTGTGTGCATCTCATAGCAATTTTTGTTTTGTTTTGTATGTAAGCCTTGGATCTCACCTTAGCGCGAATGGCACTGAATGTTACATCACTTCAGACATGTTCTATGTGGAAGTCCAGTTAGATCCTACAGGGCTGCTGTGTGATGTCAAGGTGGCTCACCATGGAGAGAACCCCGTGGTACGTATCGCTGACCAAGCTGAGGGTAATGACTTGGTGCTTTTGGAACTGCCATTTGTGGCTCCCTGTTGTTTGAGCGGAGGAAATGGATTGTGTTTTATGTCCCACTAGATCTAGAATTACCTTTGCTGCTTGTTCCCAAAGTGAAATAGCCTCCATGGAGTACTCTGTTCTTGTGGGTTGAGCTGATGGATGTAGTGTACATCTGCGAGGACCGTTTTACTGATGATCTCTCTTTTTCTCTGGGTGGTTTTATAACTGGCAAAATTATTTGAGGAAGTTACTGCCATCTTTCTGAGAATTCTATTTCTTGGGGAAGGACAGGGAAATTAAGCTTATAAAACTTCTGTGGATGGAAAATGCTAAAAAATGGAATGCTGAAAGAAAATGGCTTTTCTTCCCCTCAGCTCATGTATGAGGGCTGGGACTTGCTATGTACACAGGCCCAGCCACTCTCCTGAAAACAGACCACTTTTAATATCTCTATATAAGATCATAGGTTTTCAATGTAGGGCTTCACAATTTTAAAATTTTATTCAAATTACTCGTTTTAAGAGGAAAGAGTATTGATTGGATTTGTCCCAGAGGGGGTTGACAAGCAGAACCAGAACCGTAGCTATGTGTGGTTGGGAGCATTGTGTTTCTCCTGAGAAGCTGATGCTCAGAAATGTTGCTGTCCTGATGTTTTACAGCTGCTGTGCTGCACAACGGCTGCCATTGCTGCATTCCACATTGATATCCTTGTATGTTCTTTCCTTTTCAGAGCTGTCCAGAATTGGTGCAACATCTGAGGTGAGCAGCAAGAGTTGTTTGTTGCATTTTCTGTCAGGCTTCTCTTTGCAGTAGCCATCTGCTTCTATTTTATGTCTGGAAATGCAAAATGTCTCATACCTGTTCCATCCCCACAAAGTTTCTCTGCTTCTCTGGGGGATTTTCTGTTCAAGTTACTTTGGTTCTGATGCTGTCTTGGAAGCCACAGCACAACATTCATCAGAATCATTAAACTGTGTCACTTAAAGAACGTCTTCTGTAGCTTTCATGTAGCAAAAGTCTTTCCTTAAATAACTTAGTGTCTGTATTAATAGAACTTTTTAAAACAAAGCCTTATCTGTTATGGATGTGAATACATGTGAACTTCTTCTCCCTCTTCTTTTCAGAGAGAAAAATTTTGATGAATTTTCTAAGCATCTAAGGGGGCTTGTGAACCTGTATAAGTTGCCGGGAGACAAGTAAGTCTAGAATACATTTATTTCCATCCACATATATAAAGTTAAATGAATCCACAAGCCTCTAGTTCTGTACTGCAGTTTGCATTGGGTGTGATCCCACTGAGTCCTTCCCCATGGCTTGTGTGTGCAACCACTGGGTGGGGAGGTTTTAATGTGAAAATGGGAACAAGGAATGAAAACTTGTGATTTTTAAGTTGGATTTCATTGCACAGTTCCTTTCCATTGCTCTTACATTGTTTGTTTGTTTGTTTTTCCCTCAGCAAACTTAAAACTAAAATGTACTTAGCTCTGCAGTCCTTGGAGCTGGATCTCTCAAAAATGGCAGGGATGTATTGGTAAGGACATCTGTGTGGTTTGGGTTTTGTGGTTGGTTTGGTTTTCCTTAATAATTCTGCATCATGTGGGCTAATTCTGAACACGCCAAATATTGTGTATCCAGGAGGTATCACATCCTCCTTCACAGCCTGATGTTATTGCTAAAAAGTACAATGCTGAGGCTGTGGTAACATGGGAATTATAGATACATAGGAAAAATACTCAGAGCTTTCTGAGCAATTCCTTTTTAACTGCAGAATTTACCTGAAAGAAAGTTTAAAAGGGGAAAAAAAAGTTTGTAATAGATGTTTCACTGCTGTAGATTCAGTGGATAAACCACCCATGGTGTAAAGTTGCTTTTGTTTTGCCCATAACAGTATGAAATCTAAGCTTGTTACCTCTGTGTGACTGAGAAGTGTGTATATTGAGCTGAAATCTTAGGCTGCCATCAGTTTGGGCTTCAGGTATGGCTCTGGCTCGTTACAGACCTGTGATCACCTCTCTTGCAGGCAAGCCACCAACGCAAATCCCCTCGACAAGATTCTTCATGGCAGTGTTGGCTATCTCACCCCCAGGAGCGGAGGTATCTTTGGTTAACACTCAAAAAGAGAAGAGAATAAAAATGACTTTGTTCGGGGACCCCTTTATGGATGTTAGTCTCACATTAGCTGATGGCAGCCATGGAAAACGTTACTCAAACTGAAAGAGGGACAAGGTGGTTGAGTATTTTTAAGTAGAGTAGGGGAGATGGTTGGACTCGATGATCCCAAGGGTCTCTTCCAACCTGAATGATTCTATGATTCTGTGATTCTAAGTGCCACGTAATCCAAAAAGTTTGGGTAAAAAGCACGTGGTAATTTTATGGCAGATGGCCATTGTCTGAATCTTTAACAGCAGAGAAATGACTCTTTCAAGAGTTTCACCAGCAGCTCTGCACGGGGTGTGCTGTGCTACCGTGCAAATGTTGTGTGGGTACAGGGGCTAGTAATGATTGGGCTAATTTCTATCATCAACGCCTGTTCAAAAGCTTCTCTCCCGCAGGTCTCCTGATGAATCTCAAGTATTATGTCTCACCCTATGATTTGTTTGAGGACGGCACCGGAGCCCCTGTTATTTTGCATGAGAACAATGGTAGGTCGGCTTTCGAAGCCACTGTAGAGCACTATTGCTTGAAGGACAGAAGAAAGCAGGATTCCAACAGTCTAGTTCCCCTCTGCTCTCACCTTGTAGTACAGGAAAATCCTAGTTTGACTTAGGGAGGGTTTAATAAGCCCATGTGTAAATGCTGGCTCAGTTGACCATCTTCTCCAGCCCAGTGGCTCTTCTGGAGTTTGAACTGGACTGGTACCAAGGGTGACGGTCTGCAGACAGTCCCTTTTTCCTTCAGGCGAATTTCATCATTAACATGGGATTTATTTTATTGTGGGAACACTTGTGTCTCTGCTGTTTTACTGAAAGATTATTTTTTATGCGTGTGCATGGACATCTGTCTCTTGCTAAATGGCAAAACCAAGGACCAGTTAAAATTGAGCCTGGTCTCGGGAAAGGAGAGGGTGAAATTGTCCAAAATCATTGTTTGTTTTGCTTTGTAAAGAGCAGACTCCAAACATTTGGAGTGTGTTTGAAGAATTATGCAATTGGTCTACCTTGCAAGAGAAAACTAGAGCATTAGGTAGTGTAACTAGTTTGGCTGGAGTCCATTTAGTGATAAAGGTGAACACTGGAAACTCTGCCTTGTGGAGGAAGTAAGGTGTTTCCACCACGGTGATATTTAATTCATAAAGCTTGCATTGGTGTTTTTCATCAGTTTATGTTGTTGGGTTGGTTTTTTTCTTGTTTCCTCTCGCAGTTCCTCGGTCTTTGGGGATGAACGTGTCGGTAACAGTTGAGGGAACCATGAGCATGTACAAACTTCCAATTGCACCACTGATTATGGGCTCTCACCCAGTTGACAGCAAAGGGTAAGCGAAGGACGCGTCTGCTGGGCCTTTCCTGGTGGCCTGGTTTGGATTCACATTCAACATTTGGTTGAAGTCAGAGTGGGGTGATGACTGCATGATCATAGAATCATAGAATGGTCCAGGTTGGAAGAGACCCTTGGGATCATCGAGTCCAACCATCTCCCCTACTCTACAAAGTCCTCCCCTACACCATGTCCCTCAGCACTGCATCTAAACGGCCCTTAAACACAGCCAGGGATGGGGACTCCACCCCCTCCCTGGGCAGCCTGTTCCAACGCCCGACCACTCTTTGGGTGAAAAATTCCTTCCTAATGTTCAATCTAAACCTCCCCTGTTGGAGCTTGAAGCCGTTCCCTCTCGTTCTGTCACTAATTAGATGTTGTGTTTTGTAGCACAATTTGCTCCCCATTTGGTGATATTCAAATCTTGGTGTTGGCTGAGTCAGACACGGGTTTGAAATATTGGTCTCTGGGTAGAGGGAGGGAGGAGCAGGGGACAAGAGGGAACTGCCTCAAAACTGCCTCCTCCATATATTGTGGTGTTAAAAATTAGCCTGTCTTGTTATTTCTTTGTGGTCTCTCGTATAATTCTTAGTTTATAGCTATTAAAAATGCTACAGTGTGTTCTTCCAGATGAACAAGGTGCTTAAAAGAAAATAAATCAATTCCAGGCCTGCCTTTGTTAACAGTTTCCCACATGGATACTGTTCTCCTGCAGGAGTCAAAATGAGGATGTAATTTTGGGATGAAATCTAATGTGCTTTTAATTACCTAAATAAACCTCCCTTGACTGAGCAAAAGTTGTGATGATTCCCCTCTTACTGAGCGATACACAAAAAGGGCGTTTTTCTTCTTTCTGACTAAGGAAAAGCGAATTGTGATGAACTCTGGGGGGCACCAACATCTGGTGAGCTGTTTGGAGACTTTGCAGAAGGCATTAAAAGGTTGGTACGTCCCTGCGCATGCACTTCGCGAACCGCTTTCAACAGTGATGTGCTACGGAGAGACTCCAAAGAGCTAAAACCCAGCGAGGTTGTTGGTAGCTCATTTCACTGTGTTCCCAGTGCATGTGTGCTCACCTTTGCAGAAGTGCCCTTCTCTGGCATTGCCTGTGTGAATTTTGTTGTTAAATTTTTCGGTGTTGTTGAGTGAATTCGCTCAGCCATTGCCTGTGTGAATTTTGGTGTTAAATGCCCACACCTGACTTCAGCTTGCGGAGGAAAATCCCTTCTCTCTTTGCAGTTCTGAGCACCTTTTGGTTTTCCCTCTGCAAGTTGTTTTGAGATGTGTTTTGAGATGATGTGTCTTGGTGTGAAGGTGGGAGCAGATGTGGGAGGGAGTAACTGCTGGAGGTGGCTTTTAATGCTTTTATTCCTGGGGAGATGTTGAAATGCTTCCCTAAAGCTGTGCTTTTTGCTCTCTCTTTCTAGTCTCGTCCCTGCCTGCCATGACAGACCGCTTGGAGTCCATAGCCAGACAGAATGGGTAGGTCTCCTCCTTTATTTCATGACAAAGGCTTTTCCCGTTTATCCGTACGCATCGTAACCTCCCTGCTGGGTCAGTTGGGGTTTTTTTTGTGTGTGCATCTCATAGCAATTTTTGTTTTGTTTTGTATGTAAGCCTTGGATCTCACCTTAGTGCGAATGGCACTGAATGTTACATCACTTCAGACATGTTCTATGTGGAAGTCCAGTTAGATCCTACAGGGCTGCTGTGTGATGTCAAGGTGGCTCACCATGGAGAGAACCCCGTGGTACGTATCGCTGACCAAGCTGAGGGTAATGACTTGGTGCTTTTGGAACTGCCATTTTTGGCTCTCTGTTTGAGTAGAGGAAATGGATTGTATTTTATGTCCTGCTAGATCTAGAAATACCTTTGCTGCTTGTTCCCAAAGTGAAATAGCCTCCATGGAGTACTCTGTTCTCGTGGGTTGAGCTGATGGATGTAGTGTACATCTGCGAGGACCGTTTTACTGATGATCTCTCTTTTTCTCTGGGTGGTTTTATAACTGGCAAAATTATTTGAGGAAGTTACTGCCATCTTTCTGAGAATTCTATTTCTTGGGGAAGGACAGGGAAATTAAGCTTATAAAACTTCTGTGGATGGAAAATGCTAAAAAATGGAATGCTGAAAGAAAATGGCTTTTCTTCCCCTCAGCTCATGTATGAGGGCTGGGACTTGCTATGTACACAGGCCCAGCCACTCTCCTGAAAACAGACCACTTTTAATATCTCTATATAAGATCATAGGTTTTCAATGTAGGGCTTCACAATTTTAAAATTTTATTCAAATTACTCGTTTTAAGAGGAAAGAGTATTGATTGGATTTGTCCCAGAGGGGGTTGACAAGCAGAACCAGAACGGTAGCTATGTGTGGTTGGGAGCATTGTGTTTCTCCTGAAAAGCTGATGCTCAGAAATGTTACTGTCCTGATGTTTTACAGCTGCTGTGCTGCACAACGGCTGCCATTGCTGCATTCCACATTGATATCCTTGTATTTTCTTTCCTTTTCAGAGCTGTCCAGAATTGGTGCAACATCTGAGGTGAGCAGCAAGACTTGTTTGTTGCATTTTCTGTCAGGCTTCTCTTTGCAGTAGCCATCTGCTTCTATTTTATGTCTGGAAATGCAAAATGTCTCATACTTATTCCATCCCCACAAAGTTTCTCTGCTTCTCCGGGGGATTTTCTGTTCAAGTTACTGTGGTTCTGATGCTGTCTTGGAAGCCACAACACAACATTGATCAGAATCATTAAACTGCATCACTTAAAGAATGTTTTCTGTAGCTTTCGTGTAGCAAAAGTTTTTCCTTAAATAACTTAGTGTCTGTATTAATAGAACTTTTTAAAACAAAGCCTTATCTGTTATGGATGTGAATACATGTGAACTTCTTCTCCCTCTTCTTTTCAGAGAGAAAAATTTTGATGAGTTTTCTAAGCATCTAAGGGGGCTTGTGAACCTGTATAAGTTGCCGGGAGACAAGTAAGTCTAGAATACATTTATTTCCATCCACATATATAAAGTTAAATGAATCCACAAGCCTCTAGTTCTGTACTGCAGTTTGCATTGGGTGTGATCCCACTGAGTCCTTCCCCATGGCTTGTGTGTGCAACCACTGGGTGGGGAGGTTTTAATGTGAAAATGGGAACAAGGAATGAAAACTTGTGATTTTTAAGTTGGATTTCATTGCACAGTTCCTTTCCATTGCTCTTACATTGTTTGTTTGTTTGTTTTTCCCTCAGCAAACTTAAAACTAAAATGTACTTAGCTCTGCAGTCCTTGGAGCTGGATCTCTCAAAAATGGCAGGGATGTATTGGTAAGGACATCTGTGTGGTTTGGGTTTTGTGGTTGGTTTGGTTTTCCTTAATAATTCTGCATCATGTGGGCTAATTCTGAACACGCCAAATATTGTGTATCCAGGAGGTATCACATCCTCCTTCACAGCCTGATGTTATTGCTAAAAAGTACAATGCTGAGGCTGTGGTAACATGGGAATTATAGATACATAGGAAAAATACTCAGAGCTTTCTGAGCAATTCCTTTTTAACTGCAGAATTTACCTGAAAGAAAGTTTAAAAGGGGAAAAAAAAGTTTGTAATAGATGTTTCACTGCTGTAGATTCAGTGGATAAACCACCCATGGTGTAAAGTTGCTTTTGTTTTGCCCATAACAGTATGAAATCTAAGCTTGTTACCTCTGTGTGACTGAGAAGTGTGTATATTGAGCTGAAATCTTAGGCTGCCATCAGTTTGGGCTTCAGGTATGGCTCTGGCTCGTTACAGACCTGTGATCACCTCTCTTGCAGGCAGGCCACCAACGCAAATCCCCTCGACAAGATTCTTCATGGCAGTGTTGGCTATCTCACCCCCAGGAGCGGAGGTATCTTTGGTTAACACTCAAAAAGAGAAGAGAATAAAAATGACTTTGTTCAGGGACCCCTTTATGGATGTTAGTCTCACATTAGCTGATGGCAGCCATGGAAAACGTTACTCAAACTGAAAGAGGGACAAGGTGGTTGAGTATTTTTAAGTAGAGTAGGGGAGATGGTTGGACTCGATGATCCCAAGGGTCTCTTCCAACCTGAATGATTCTATGATTCTGTGATTCTAAGTGCCACGTAATCCAAAAAGTTTGGGTAAAAAGCACGTGGTAATTTTATGGCAGATGGCCATTGTCTGAATCTTTAACAGCAGAGAAATGACTCTTTCAAGAGTTTCACCAGCAGCTCTGCACGGGGTGTGCTGTGCTACCGTGCAAATGTTGTGTGGGTACAGGGGCTAGTAATGATTGGGCTAATTTCTATCATCAACGCCTGTTCAAAAGCTTCTCTCCCGCAGGTCTCCTGATGAATCTCAAGTATTATGTCTCACCCTATGATTTGTTTGAGGACGGCACCGGAGCCCCTGTTATTTTGCATGAGAACAATGGTAGGTTGGCTTTCGAAGCCACTGTAGAGGGCTATTGCTTGAAGGAGAGAAGAAAGCAGGATTCCAACAGTCTAGTTCCCCTCTGCTCTCACCTTGTAGTACAGGAAAATCCTAGTTTGACTTAGGGAGGGTTTAATAAGCCCATGTGTAAATGCTGGCTCAGTTGACCATCTTCTCCAGCCCAGTGGAGAAGGGACTGGTACCAAGGGTAATGGTCTACAGACAGTCCCTTTTTCCTTCAGGCGAATTTCATCATTAACATGGGATTTATTTTATTGTGGGAATACTTGTGTCTCTGCTGTTTTACTGGAAGATTATTTTTACGCATGCGCGTGGACATCTGTCTCTTGCTAAATGGCAAAACCACTTGTGTCTCTGCTGTTTTACTGAAAGATTATTTTTTATGCGTGTGCATGGACATCTGTCTCTTGCTAAATGGCAAAACCAAGGACCAGTTAAAATTGAGCCTGGTCTCGGGAAAGGAGAGGGTGAAATTGTCCAAAATCATTGTTTGTTTTGCTTTGTAAAGAGCAGACTCCAAACATTTGGAGTGTGTTTGAAGAATTATGCAATTGGTCTACCTTGCAAGAGAAAACTAGAGCATTAGGTAGTGTAACTAGTTTGGCTGGAGTCCATTTAGTGATAAAGGTGAACACTGGAAACTCTGCCTTGTGGAGGAAGTAAGGTGTTTCCACCACGGTGATATTTAATTCATAAAGCTTGCATTGGTGTTTTTCATCAGTTTATGTTGTTGGGTTTGGTTTTTTTCTTGTTTCCTCTCGCAGTTCCTCGGTCTTTGGGGATGAACGTGTCGGTAACAGTTGAGGGAACCATGAGCATGTACAAACTTCCAATTGCACCACTGATTATGGGCTCTCACCCAGTCGACAGCAAAGGGTAAGTGAAGGACACATCTGCTGGGTCTTTCCCGGCGGCCTGGTTTGGATTCACATTCAACATTTGGTTGAAGTCAGAGTGGGGTGATGACTGCATGATCATAGAATCATAGAATGGTCCAGGTTGGAAGAGACCCTTGGGATCATCGAGTCCAACCATCTCCCCTACTCTACAAAGTCCTCCCCTACACCATGTCCCTCAGCACTGCATCTAAACGGCCCTTAAACACAGCCAGGGATGGGGACTCCCCCACCTCCCTGGGCAGCCTGTTCCAATGCCCGACCACTCTTTGGGTGAAAAATTCCTTCCTAATGTTCAATCTAAACCTCCCCTGTTGGAGCTTGAAGCCGTTCCCTCTCGTTCTGTCACTAATTACCTGTGAGAAGAGACCAGCACCAACCTCTCTACAGTGTCCTTTCACGGAGTTGTAGAGAGTGATGAGGTCTCCCCTCAGCCTCCTCTTCCTCACACTAAACAGCCCCAACTCCCTCAGCCGCTCCTCATACGATTTGTTTTCCAGCCCCCTCCCCAGCGCCGTTGCCCTCCTCTGCACTCGCTCCAGCACCTCCAGATCTCTCTTGGATTGAGGTGCCCAAAACTGGCATGATGTCATAGACTTATATAAAGCACTTATGTGCTGTCTTTAAGCCAAGAAATACATACTTTAGGCACGTGACGTGCTTTTGAGGAGTGTCTTTATTTGGAAGAAGGTGTAACGATCCACTGGTGTTTGAGCAAATCCTGAACTGGGTGTCTGGTGCTCAGAGCAGAAGCCAGAGTCGTGCCCCACATCTAATAAGATCTTGTGTTAACCCAATTATTTCAGAACTCCGTCCTTCTCCTCCATCACCAGTGCCAACAGCGTGGATTTACCGGCTTGTTTCTTCCTGAAATTCCCACGTCCCATTCCCGTGTCTCGTGCTTTCATTCAGAAGCTCCAGGGCTGCACAGGTGGGTTGCAGATCCATCAGACAAGACCCTCCCTAGGTTTTTATTAATGAACTGCTTCTAATTTTTAAAGCCTGCCGGAAAAGTTGCTCAGGGTTTTGTGCCGTTTTTAGTAAAACTCGGGTAAAGTTCCTTTCCTGGGTGGTAGCGCCTTCTCTGGCCCGTCATCTCTTTCTGGCTCCCTGGTGTCATCGTTCTGTGCCATCTTCCACCCTCAGGTATTCCCTTGTTCGACACCCCACCGACGTTTGTGCCCTTGTATGAGTTGATCACCCAGTTTGAATTATCCAAGGAGGCTGATCCTCTACCCTTAAACCACAACATGCGCTTCTATGCAGTAAGTATGTCCTTACAACCAGGGCGTTGCACTTGTAGATGAGCACTTTGGGGGTTTTCATCAGTTTCAGGTGTCTTTCAAGTAGGATAAAGGAAATGGGTGCAGCATTTCTTCACATACCCTACGAAACAGATCTAGTGGGGACAGTGAGTGCTGTTTGAGAAGCTTCTGAGAAGCTCAAGTTGTGTTTTGCTTGTTCAGATTGGAAGCAAAACATCTTCATTGTTTGTCATTTTCAGCCAGGAAGGTGGCTCGGTGTCACCTGGATCTGGGGCCTGCTCTTTCCTTCCTAGACATCTGTTATTGCCTTGTACCCAGCAGTAGTTGGAGTAAAGCAGAAATTGTTTGTCAGGCTCTTCCAGGACAGCAGCACTGTTACTTTCTGAACAAAGATGCTCCTCTCCCAGATGGAAGAAGCCTTCAAGGAACTCTGATCAGTAAAATCGCCTTCCAGCACCCGGGGCGGGTTCCTCTCATCCTCAATCTGATCCGACATCAGGTGGCCTACAACACCCTGATTGGCAGCTGTGTCAAGAGAACAGTTCTGAAGGAAGGTGGGTACAGCATCAAGTGGAATATAATGTGTGGGTAGTAAGAAACCCGGGTGTAGGAATAAGAAACAAGGCCCAAACTGCTTTCCTTTTCCCCTTCTTTTTCTTCTCTACGTGGGTATTGAGCTGGTGCTTCTGGTTCTTCCCTTCTGTTCCCTAATTGAACAGTTCCTGTGTCTTTCAGATTCTCCTGGGATCCTGCAGTTTGAAGTTTGTCCTCTCTCTGACTCCTGTTTTAGTGTGTCCTTCCAGCATCCCGTGAATGACTCCCTGGTGTGTGGTAAGTGGACTGGGTGAAAATGTGAGCATGTTTATGGGATGGAAGGCAGGGGGGCTTTCCTCCACTGCAGCCAGGATCTTGATCTCTTCCAAACTCCTTCTCTCTTCCAGTGGTAATGGATGTGCAAGACTCCACTCACGTGAACTGTAAGCTCTACAAAGGGCTGTCCGATGCTCTTATCTGCACAGATGATTTCATTGCCAAAGTTGTTCAAAGGTAAGCTGGATTTTTTCTGTGCTGCCTTCCACTCCGAGTTATAGAGATGATCTCTGTGTCTGGCTCATATTTCTCCTGGTGGTTTTTTAAGCTGTTCTCTCTGAGGGTGAGTTTTGGTAGTGGTTGTTTGGAAGAGAGAAAATCTTGGAGCCCTACTGAAAATTCTATTCCAGCTACTTATTTTTGGGTGTGTGTCCCAGGTGCCTTCTCCTGTAGTTGCTTCCTTTCTAAGTCTTGTGAACTTGTGACAAACTCCCCTGCGGTTTGTCATTTACACAGGCCTTTTATCAAGGTTCCTCCATCCCAGCCACCATTCAGACACAGCAGAACGTTACCAGTGCATGACACAGACCTCTACAGTGACAATAGCTATACTTTTTCTTCCAGAACCTTATAGGCTTTTTGTCCTTGAGTAGAATGTCTCATTGCCATTGATTTTTACAGGGTTGCAGGAAATGAGGTTGGCCAAGCTCAGACAAAGGTGTTTTCTGGCAGAGTCAGAGTAACAACCCAGATTGCACCCTGTGCTTTAACTTGAAGATCATGATCTGTCAGCTCTTAGTTATTAGTTAATTGATTAATTCTCCCTTTGTGATTGCAGGGCAGTGCATAAAGGCAGAGTTGTCTCACGGCTGGATAAGCCTGATGGGATGAGTGTAAACACAAGCAGAACAGCAGGGTGTTACAGAGCCTGGACCCCCTGCTCTCTTGTTCCCAAGAGCCTCACTGCTTGTTTTGTGTCTGGTGGAGTTAAAACGTCTTCATTGAGTGTTGCTGCCGGGCAGCAAAATCCTGTGTCCCAGGTGCCTTCTCCTGTAGTTGCTTCCTTTCTAAGTCTTGTGAACTTGTGACAAACTCCCCTGCGGTTTGTCATTTATGCAGGTCTTTTATCAAGGTTCCTCCATCCCAGCCACCATTCAGGACACAGCAGAACATTACCAGTGCATGACACAGACCTCTTCAGTGACAATAGCTATACTTTTTCTTTCAGAACCTTATAGGCTTTTTGTCCTTGAGTAACACAGCAGAACGTTACCAGTGCATGACACAGACCTCTACAGTGACAATAGCTATACTTTTTCTTCCAGAACCTTATAGGCTTTTTGTCCTTGAGTAGAATGTCTCATTGCCATTGATTTTTACAGGGTTGCAGGAAATGAGGTTGGCCAAGCTCAGACAAAGGTGTTTTCTGGCAGAGTCAGAGTAACAACCCAGATTGCACCCTGTGCTTTAACTTGAAGATCATGATCTGTCAGCTCTTAGTTATTAGTTAATTGATTAATTCTCCCTTTGTGATTGCAGGGCAGTGCATAAAGGCAGAGTTGTCTCACGGCTGGATAAGCCTGATGGGATGAGTGTAAACACAAGCAGAACAGCAGGGTGTTACAGAGCCTGGACCCCCTGCTCTCTTGTTCCCAAGAGCCTCACTGCTTGTTTTGTGTCTGGTGGAGTTAAAACGTCTTCATTGAGTGTTGCTGCCGGGCAGCAAAATCACAGAATCACAGAATGATGTGGGGTTGGAAGGGACCTCTGGAGATCATCTAGTCCGACCTCCTCCCAGAGCAGGTCCCACAGGAACGTGTCCAGGCAGGGTTTGAATGTCTCCATAGAAGGAGACTCCACCACCTCCCGGGCAGCCTCTTCCAGGGCTCTGCCACCCTCACAGCAAAGAAGTTCCTCCTCATCTGCCCACTAACCCCTCTGTCTCGTGTCCCACAGGTGTATGTCCATCCCCGTCACCATGAGAGCAATTCGTAGAAAAGCAGAAACCATTCAAGCCGACACACCAGCCTTGTCCCTCATTGCAGAGACAGTAGAAGACATGGTGAAGAAAAACCTCCCCCCAGCCAGCAGCCCAGGGTACGGCATGACCACAGGCAGCAACCCAATGAGTGGTACCACTACCCCAACCAACACTTTTCCTGGGGGGCCCATCACTACTTTGTTTAACATGAGCATAAGCATGAAAGAGAGGCATGACTCGGTGGGCCATGGGGAGGACTTCAGCAAAGTATCTCAGAACCCTATTCTCACTAGTTTGTTGCAGATCACAGGGAATGTGGGCTCGACCATTGGCTCAAGTCCAACCCCTCCCCACCACACCCCACCACCAGTATCCTCACCAGCAAGCAACACCAAGAACCACCCCATGCTCATGAACCTTCTTAAAGAGAATCCCCCTCAGGATTTCTCCACTCTGTACGGGAGCAGCCCTTTGGAAAGGCAGAACTCTTCCTCGGGCTCCCCTAGAATGGAAATGGGCCCTGGGGGGAATAAACAAAAGAAAAAAAAATCCCGCATGCCGGCCGACAAACCCAAACATCAGACTGAGGATGATTTCCAGAGGGAGCTCTTTTCGATGGATGTTGACTCCCAGAATCCCATTTTTGATGTCAACATGACGGCAGACACCCTGGACACCCCTCACATTACTCCAGCTCCCAGCCAGTGCAGCACTCCTCCCACCACCTACCCCCAGCCCATACCTCACTCCCAGCCCAGTATTCAGAGGATGGTTCGACTCTCCAGCTCGGACAGCATCGGGGCCGACGTTACCGATATCCTTTCGGATATAGCAGAGGAGGCTTCCAAACTCCCCACCACCAACGAGGACTGTCCACCCATTGGGACTCCGGTGAGAGACTCTTCTAGTTCAGGCCATTCCCAAAGTGCCCTCTTCGACCCGGATGTTTTTCAGACCAACAACAGCGAGAACCCCTACACGGACCCCGCAGACCTGATCGCGGACGCTGCCGTGAGCCCCAACAGTGATTCTTCCAACCATTTTTTTCCTGACGGAGTAGATTTCAATCCCGACTTGCTCAACAGTCAGAGTCAGAGTGGCTTTGGGGAGGAGTATTTTGATGAGAGTAGTCAGAGTGGAGACACTGACGATTTCAAGGGCTACGCGTCCCAGGCTCTGTCTACTTTGGGGGTGCAGGTCTTGGGGGCTGATGGGGGGGAAAATAAATTTAAGGGGAGCAATCAGTCCGATACGGTAGATTTTAGTATTATTGCAGCCGCAAGCAAAGCCCTGGGGTCCTCTGACATCATGGAGCATCACAGTGGAGGTCAGAGCCCTTTGCTGAATACAGGGGATTTAGGAAAAGAGAAGTCCCAGAAACGGGTGAAGGAAGGGAATGGCTCTGGTGGGAACATGGCAGGTCCCGGGATGGATGGGAAGCCGGGGAAGCGCAGCCGGACGCCGTCCAGTGATGGTAAAAGTAAAGAGAAACTTCCAAAGAGGAAAAAGCAGGAGACAGATGGGAAATCACCATCTCACAGTTCATCAAACAGGCCTTTCACGCCACCAGCCAGCACAGGTGGGTCCAAATCTCCAGGGAGTTCGGGCAGATCTCAGACTCCTCCCGGTGTAGCTACTCCTCCTATTCCAAAAATAACCATCCAGATCCCCAAAGGAACAGTGACTGTTGGCAAACCGTCTTCGCACGGCCAGTATACCAGTAGTGGCTCCGTCACCTCCTCCAGCAGCAAAAGCCATCACAGCCATTCTTCTTCCTCCTCCTCTTCTTCCTCCTCTTCGACCTCAGGCAAAATGAAAAGCAGCAAATCGGAAGGGTCTTCTGGCTCAAAGATGAGCAGCAGCCTCTACTCAAGCCAAGGGGGCTCGGGTTCGGGTCAGTCCAAAAGCTCGGCGCAGTCGGTGGGAAAGCCTGGATCCTCCCCCATCACCAAACACGGCCTCAGCAGCGGCTCCGGAGGTACCAAGATGAAACCTCAAGGAAAACCATCGTCGCTTATGAACCCTTCCATGAGTAAACCAAACATCTCTCCATCTCATTCCAGACCTTCAGGGGGTTCTGACAAGCTTGCTTCTCCCATGAAACCTGTCCCAGGTACTCCCCCATCATCTAAAGCCAAGTCACCCATCAGTTCAGGTTCTGGAGGCTCCCATATGTCTGGGACCGGCTCAAGCTCAAGTATGAAATCGTCTTCAGGAATGGGATCCTCTGGGTCTATGTCACAGAAACCGCCTCCTTCATCCAATTCGTCCACGGCGTCTTCATCTTCCTTTTCATCTAGTGGGTCTTCCATGTCTTCATCCCAAAACCAGCATGGAAGTTCCAAAGGCAAGTCTCCGAGCAGAAACAAGAAGCCATCTCTGACTGCGGTCATCGACAAACTGAAACACGGGGTTGTCACTAGCGGGCCTGGTGGAGATGACCCCATGGATGGACAGATGGGGCCAAGTTCCAATTCCTCAAGCCATACGATGTCCTCCAAACACAACATGTCTGGAGGGGAGTTCCAGGGCAAACGGGAGAAGAGCGACAAAGAGAAATCTAAAGTCTCTGTTTCTGGAGGATCTGTTGACTCTTCCAAGAAGACTTCAGATTCCAAAAACGTTGGAAGCACTGGAGTGGCCAAAATCATCATCAGCAAACACGATGGTGGTTCCCCCAGCATCAAAGCCAAAGTAACCTTGCAGAAACCCGGGGAAGGAGGTGGGGACAGCCTGCGGCCTCAGATGGCTTCTTCCAAAAGCTACGGGTCCCCCCTCATCAGCGGATCCACCCCGAAACACGAGCGCTGCTCTCCCAGCCACAGCAAATCCCCGGCCTACACTCCCCAAAACATAGACAGCGAGAGCGAGTCGGGCTCTTCCATAGCAGAGAAATCCTACCAGAACAGCCCCAGCTCTGACGACGGCATCAGGCCTCTGCCGGAATATAGCTCAGAAAAACACAAAAAGCACAAAAAGGAGAAGAAAAAAGTAAAAGACAAAGACCGGGATAGAGACAGGGAGCGAGATAAAGACAGAGACAAGAAGAAATCTCACGGCATGAAGCCGGAGAGCTGGTCCAAGTCCCCCATTTCTGCTGAGCAGTCTCTCTCCATGGCCAGCAGCACCATCCTCTCGGCCGAGCGACCGGCCCGGGCCAGCCCTGAGTTTCTCATCGGGGAAGAAGATGACGATCTCATGGATGTTGCTCTAATTGGCAATTAATTTCCCTGGTCTCTTGAGGAGCTGAGCTTGGACATGGGACCTGCAGGTTCTCGAGATTGGGAGGAAGGAACCGTTCATTGCAGAACCTGCCACGCTCATTTTTACGGGGTGTGTTTGAAGAGGAAAAAAACCCAAACAAATAGTATTTTTAAGGATCTCCAAAGTCTGAGCAGAAGGTGTGAGTGCCAGCAGCTCCGTCGGCAGAGCAGGTTCCCCGCTGTGGCCTTCATCCCGTGGACACTTACACTCATTCTTAATTTATAAGTATTAATCACCCCGTCAGAGTTAATGGGGATAGAGCTGCGTGTGTAGGTGCAGGAGCAGCCCCCGACGTGGTGCAAACAGGAGGCGGCGATTCTGGGAGAGCCCGAGTTCCTCTGCCCCCCCTTCCCATCCCAAATAAGTTGCTTTTGGTTTTTAGGAAGTTTTAAACTGATTATTTTAGGGTGTGTTTTAGGGTTGGGTTTTATTCTTTTTTTTAAAGGGTGGCTGGAAGGAAAAAAGAAAAAAAGGAAAAGGTTTTTTAATTTATTTTTGTGGCATTTCTTGGTTCAATGCCTGATTCGGTGCGGTGCTGAGGAGCTTCCTCTTCCTCTGATAGGAGCTGCTCTGTGGGATCGGGCACTGGATCCTGATGGATATCAGCATTTTATTCCAGGTCCCAGGGACGAAGGATTCGCTCTCTTACGTTTGACTTCCCTTTTATTTTAGCTATTTATTGACGGCCGGATCCAAATGCCTTGTGCTGCTTGTTTCCACGCAGCAACCCCCCCCCCCACACACACACACCTTTTGATTGCCCAGTGCAGAGCCCAAAAAGGGACTTGGGGATGTGGGGGGGAGCCTGTGGATTTGGGCAAACCCCCCCTTGTAGCTTTGGTGAAGTTGGGGGGATTCTGGCAGGCGTTGGAGAAGGCGAAAACAGCGACGGGACTCACCCTCTTCACCCGAGCGACGCTTCCTTGTGAGCCCAGTGAACAGAGCTTCCCTGGAACTCCCCCCCCCACAAAAGCTGTTTTTTGGGGGGCTCTGGACTGTCAGCCCTGCACCCCCTGCTCCCGCCAGCGCTTCAGAGCCGTGCTCCCTTCGTGGCCACCGCCAATACTTCCATTAGCAGACCCCAAAAACGGGCCTTGGCTTTGCAATCCCAGCCCTGCAGGGTTCTGCTGGGGGTTTTGATTTATGGGTTGGTGTGGGTTTTTTTCCTGTTAACTCTGGGACGGTGGTTTTTTGGGGACACAGACGAGCGGTGCCCTCTCTCTCGGGCAGCGTGAACCGGCCGCGTCCCGGCGTTACCCCCCGACCGGTCCCTCCGGGTGAGAGCTGCACCAGAAACAGCAATTCCCTTAAAAGACACATTTTCTCCCCTTTTGGCTGGAATTAAGAGCGTGACTCAGGCACCCTCTGCGGGCCCCGAAAGGAAAAAAAAGACTCGGGAGAGCGTTTTTATTTTTAAAAGCAGTTAGATCTGATTCACTGAAGAAGGAAATGGAGAGTCCTGCGAGCTCCTCAGCTTTTGAATCATGTACCGAGTGATTCCTGCTCCCCTCGGATCTGGATTTGTGGATTCCTGGAGGCTGGGAGTATCCCTGTGGGAATGGGATTGTCCTTGGAGTTTGGGGATGAAAAGAAGAGAAGGATTTTTAAGTTTTCTTTGAAGCCACGGAGGTTTCCAGTCCTGTGTCCATCCCGACCCTGGGCGGGCTGTTCCTTTTCTGGCTCATCCAAAGCCGGAGCGAGATCTTTTCCGTAGGGTGGCAACTATTCATTGTAGGGATTTTTCACCTCTTCCTCCTGCTTTTTGCTCAATTCCAGGTCTCCAGCAGAATGGAGGAGCTGGAATTTCTCCAACCCCCCCCCCAGGCTCTGGAGAACTCTCTCTTCTTCTATTTTCCACCCTCCATCCCTTGCTCCTTGTGGTCTGCGCCCCCCGTAGCTTCCCCCCTCCCCGGCTCTCCCTCCTTCGCAGGCTGAGGTGGTAGGAAAACGGCAAAAAAAAGTCAAAACCCAACAGTTTTAGATCATTTTACGGTCTAAAAGCACCCACCTGATAAATTCTTCTTGGAGACCCTGATAAATTCCTCTCGGAGACCCTGCTGCAGCCGCTGCCGTGCCTGGGGAGCGGTGCCTGCTGCCCCCCTCGGGTTTATTTGAAAGCAGTTTATTTGAAAGTATTTTTATTTGAAAGTAAAGTATTTTTGGGGTCTTACAAAAGCCCTTTGATACCGTCTGGGTTGCACAAAGGCCTGAACCCCCTGCGAAGAGAAGAGGAATTGAGGCTGGGGGGGTCGTAATGGACTCGGCACCAACCGGAGACGGGTTTTAAGGGGGGAGAAAAAGTCAGAATTAAATCCCCTCGGGCGTCGGAATTGACACAAAATGGCATTTTTAAGGCAAAAGCTGCCGGTTTCTCTCGGCTTCCCTTCTCTGCTCCCCCCACACCGAAGTTCCATATCCTGAATTTCCCCCCCCGCACGGAGCAGAGACGGAGGGAACAGCCTCTCCCCCCCCATCACCATCGTGGCACCCGTTTCGAGCTTTTTTCACCCCATTTTGGTGCGTTGTGTCCCCCCCCCAGGTTGTGTGAGAGGAATCAGGAGAGAGAC